TTTACATAGCCAAGCTAAATGTTACATTTACTCCATGCTGCTATATGGTGTAGAAACCTGGACCATAAAGGCTAATGTGGTGAACCGATTGGAGGCCTTTGAAATGTGGGTATTTAGAAGACTACTTAAAATTCCCTCGACAGATTACACAACAAATGTCGAAGTAATAAATCGAATGGGCAGAGAACGAGAATTGCTGCCAATAATAAAGAGAAGAAAACTGCTTATCTGGGTCATATATTTCGATTCCAAGTAGATACGACAGATATGATAGTGTACGACATCAGAAACTCGTAAAACTGTTAAAAGAAAAGAATTTGGATAGTAGAGATATACGGGTTATTGTCATTCTGCACTGGATTCAAAAAGCAAAGGTTAGAATCGAAAATGTCGATACAGACACTATAAAAATCAAAAGCGGTGTTAGACGGGGTTGCGTGCTGTCCCCGTTGTTATTCAATCTGTACAGCGAAGCTATTGCTAAGTGCATGATTATTTCTAAGCAACATACAGTAGGAAGGCTAGACATCGAGGGAAAACAAGTAGAAAGAGTGAATAACTAAAAATATCTGTTCTGAAGCTTTAATTGTGGCTTATTCCCAGATAAATAGTAATTAATACAGATATCTGGGAACCTGGGTAAATGAAAATAATTACCAAGGTAGAAAAATAAAGGCACGCATTGAAATTGCAAGACAAGCATTTGTAAAAATGAAAACAACGTTAATCGAGACCTTCCTCTGGAGCTGAGGATAAGAGCCCTAAGATGCTACGTGTTCTCGACTTTGTTGTATGGAATGGAAAGCTGGACACTAAAAGTGGATAATAGAAAGAATTGGAATCATTTGAGATGTGGTGCTATAGAAGGATTTTGAAAATACCATGGACCCAACGAGTTACAAATGCTAAGTGTTAAGAAGGCTATAAAAGGATTGCGAGGTCATAAAGCACATCAAAAAAAGAAACTGGTAAAGCACATGGTAAAATCAAGGGTAAAAGCTCCATAGGAAGACGAAGAATTTACTGGCTCAGAAACCTAAGAGAGTGGTATAGTTGCAGCTCAGTAGATCTTTTCAGAGCAGCCGCCAATAAGGTGTGGATAGCTGTGATGATAGCCAACCTCCGATAGGAGAAGGAACTACAAGAAGAAGAATACTCTCAAAATGAGGGAGTTAATACTATTTTATTTGCCAATGACACTACTTTCTATGTATGCTATTGTTAATTTGACTCTATTGATTACCAAATATCTGAAAAAAAAACTTCTTCTATTAATTGATCGGAAAAGCTTTCCCAACAACTTTTTCGTTTCAGAAATCATGTAAAAGTAACTTCCAGACAAACTATTTTATCCCTTTATAGGTCTGTGGTCGATATTTCGACCACTGCTCTTATTAATACTTATGAGCTAGTAATTGACATGAAAAGTTACCGAAGTGCAAATTCAGTGTTTGTAAATGAATTGTACCCAAAATGAACACCACAGAACAAAATACGGCAACGTGGCAGCAATGTGGTCGATTCGCCAACCACAACCCATCATACTCTGTAAGTTACCGTTGAACGTGATCACAGGTTTTTGCCGTTTGTAAAAGTTAGAAAAATAATTTACAAAAGATTTATACATCAAACTCAAGGTAACACATCACAGTATTATGGTCTTTTATTATCTATTCAGATTTTATTGGCGCTAAGATGATATATCTTGATTTACTAAACATAACCTCAAAGTAGCACATGCTGATTTTACAATTGTTCTATTGAAATGTATTTTCACTCTTGTTTATTTTAAATCTATACAATTATATTCTTTTTTTACGTAAATCTGACTTACTTGAATAATATTTCCAAGAATTAAATTGCTGTGCGGTAGATCAAGTAATTAAATTTTTCAAGTATTTGTATACAACAATGTACGTATCTTTTGCAGTAAAATGGAACACCGCAATATACTTGAAAATTTACAAAATATGACTCAGGATGATTTATTTGATTACATAGATGGTATTCCATATCAACAAGCCATAAATTCAGATTTTGAGGGTGATTCTGATGCAGAAGATAATCTTCCTATTTCCAACCGAACGTCGGTTGCATCCAACGCGACTATTACTTCATTGTCTAATGATGACAAGGTTGAATTTCTTGATGTTGATTCAGATGACTCAATGGATGATATAGCTTTCCACCCTCAGGTAAGAACAAATCGCATTTTTGACGACGTCGATACTTCCTCAGGCGAAGACGAAATAGAAGAGAACCAAGAGAACACAGTAAAGTGCGATGATACATATAAATGGAGAAAGAACGCTTCTGATGCACAAAAATATTCGAATGCGCCGTTTACCAGACCATTTGGCCCAGCAAAACCGGTCAATATAAATTCACCATTCGACGTGTTTTCTTTGTTCATGAGCAAAGATATTATAGCTAATATAATTACACAGTCAAATCTCTATGCTCAACAACAAAATCATAATAATCTCGACCTAACTGAGGAAGAACTGAAAGCATTTCTAGGGGTTCTTATAATCATGGGGTTTCATAAACTACCTAGTTTGAGACATTATTGGTCAACTGATATTAACATGCACGTGCCAAGAGTTTCGCAAATTTTTACGCAAAAACGATTCTTAAAAATTCTTCGTTTTCTCCATCTAAACAATAACGAAAACATGGAAAGAAATCAAAATAACCCCAATTTTGACAAACTGTTCAAAGTAAGGCCTTTGATAACAGAACTGCAGCAACGCTTTCAAGAGAACTTTTATACAAGTAGAAATGTTGCGGTAGATGAAAGTATGGTTGCTTTCAAGGGGCGAAGTTCTCTCAAACAATATATGCCGAAAAAGCCCATAAAAAGAGGCTTTAAAGTTTGGGTCGTTGCATGCTCCGAAACTGGATACGTGCACAAATTTAGCATATATGAAGGCAAATCTCAATCACAACATGCTGAATATGGTTTAGGCGCTAAAACGGTATTAGACATTACCGAGTCTCTTAGAGGCGCAAACTACTGCATTTATTTCGATAATTTTTTCTCGAGTTTTCCTCTTCTTAAGAAAATGTTAACCTATGATTTGTTCTGCTGTGGAACTTTTAGAATAAATCGTAAAGGCTTTCCAACACAAATGAGAAAGGACAAAACAATGAAAATGGGAGAACACGATTATTTCATGTCCAATGATATGTCTGTTGTTAAATGGAAAGATCGGGGGCGCAAATGCGTTTTAGTCGGCAGTACTATGCATAATCCACTTGAGATTACTTCAGTTTTGCGAAGAAAACCGAATGGTGAACAAGAAAGTGTTAAGTGTCCAAAAGCCATAAGTGATTACAATCGCTATATGGGTGGAGTCGATCTATTCGATCAACTTCATGCTTCTTATCCAATTTCATGGAAATCCCGAAGATGGTATATGAAGATTATTTACTATTTGATTGATGCAGCAGTGGTAAATTCATATATAACTTATAAGACTACAATGAAAATGAGGTCCATTAAATCGAAACCAATGAGTCACCTGTATTTTAGAAGTGTATTGGCCAACGAGCTCATAGGTGATTTCTATAACAGAAAGAGACCAGGACCTAAGGTAACAATAGGAAGAAATAAACTGAAGAAAATGGGAGCAACCACTAATTCTGTTAGCGTTGAAAGCACGGTGAGACTAAGCGATGTTGGCAATCACATGCCAGAAAAAGGAACATCAAGACGTTGTGCACTCTGTTCAACGAGAGCAAAGCCAAAACGTTCAAGTATTAAATGCTCAGATTGCCAGGTTGCATTATGTATTCAATGTTTTCCATTATTTCATAATAAAAATGTTTAATTAATGTGTTTTTTTCTGTGGTCGATTATGGAACCACAACTACATTTACCAAAGTCAACATACCTAATCAGGCTGTGGTCGAAATTTCAACCACCTAAAAAAAACAACAAGGAGTGAAAATAAAATGAAAATACGAATGAAAGTTCAATAACGGATCATTCCTTATCTATAATCTGCAAAGAATTTGTTTATATTACCAAAAATAATTCTGCCCTATAAAGGGTTATCATAGTAACTTCATACTAACATTCTCATCTAACTTACGCCGTTCTTTTCTGAGTCACTCTTGTCACATTGATAAAGTTTTTGGACAACAAAAAGTGTGTTGGTATTATCTCTGGTCTCGGTTATAGAATTTTCTTGTTCTTCTTCTTAGGGTGCCTGTCCGTTCCGAACGTTGGCGATCATTCTGGCTATGATGACTTTGTTGGTTGCTATACGAAATAGCTGTGTTCAGGTCTTTCTATACCATGCTCTCAGGTTCTCAAGCCAGGATTTCCTTTAGAGCTCTTAAAATTTTAACTTTACCTTGTGTATATATTATGCAGTGTCTGTGGCACATTAAACAAAATCTTAGCCAATACAATGCGCACGTAGCTTTTTACAACGTGAAAGCTGGTTTCTGTACCAGAATTTGACCGCCTTGAGAGATCCAGAAATGGTTTAAGGTATTTAGCCATTAAGTTTTGTAACATAGTGCCATGTAGAATAAAAGCTCTTTACATTTTTCAATTCAAAGCAAAAATTAGAGATACGTTAGAGTGAATGTTTTTTTTTTCATTTGAGGGGAATTTCTTTTCCAATTTTAATCTGTTGTGATTGTTGTTTGTCTGTTATCTTTTTAAATACACACGTATCTCTATCTATCTATCTATCTATCTATTTATATATCTATCTATATATCTATCTATCTGTCTATCTAAGTAAATAAAAGCACGTCATATAAAATTACAATCGCACGTAATTATTAACAAAACATAAAATAAGTAAAAAAAATAACGTTTATAAAAACTTTTATGGAGACTTAAAATCGATAATAATTTTCTTAGATATAAAATGTTACATTTATAACAATCATTAGGTATAAATATATGTACATTTTTTAATTATCTTTTGTTAAAATCAATTACGTAAATGCATTTCTAACGACTGTGTCTTTCATTTCAGCACCAACAACCAGTCAAGCCGGCGATAGGTCAGAAGCCTCAGATTTCACCAAAACCGCGTCTTAGCGACACCATCGAAATGACGCTACCGCCGGACGTCGTGACCGGCGCAGGTTTACAAACGTGGCCGCTCAAAAACCGTGTCATAGGTACAGATAACGTCAAAAAATCGGCAGGAACCACCGGGGAAAATCACATAGGAACCGGGTACCTTTCGACGAAGAAGACTTCTGCAAGCGGAGAAAATCACGTCGTTGGAGGGTACCAGAGTGTAAAGAAATTAAATGGTGATGGAGAAAATCACATTGGTAGCGGTTATCACAAATCACAGCCGTCTTCCGTAACAATCGACCAAGTAGCGCTAGAAGAAAAAAGGCTCATCAATGCGCTTAAAAACGGTGATGTCGTCAGTGATGAACCTGTTAGGACGATAGGAAAACTCAATAGAGATATTACGGTAAGAGATTAATTATCAAATTCTGTTTACAATTTCCATTATATCACTTGATCCATTAAGTAAAAACCTATTGTATTAAATTCCACATATTTTTAGTTTTGAAACAAAATCTCTTTTGTTTATGAAACTTGTCAGGAGTCTGGTCTGCTTTTTAAGCACAAAATCTGTGATTTTTTTAATCAGCTACAATTTAGACTGATTTATGGTACGCTTAATATTCTGGTTTCTTTCACCAATTAATTGGTACATATTGGTGTTTGTGAAGGGATTGCTAATTTCCTCACCTCATATTGTGTTCCATAAATATATTCTGTTACATTCAGTGAAACAAGTATTGAGATCGGATCCACCAAAATACGTTTTACTAAAATAACTTCCACAAAACCACTTCCACTACAAACCATTTCCACAAAAACTAACAGGATTTTTAAACACATTACGAGCCCCTTCCCGTATCAGTTGGCCCAACGTTAGATTGATAAGAAAATTAAATTTTAGAGAACAAAAATAAAAGCGCAGCGTACATTTTAGAAGTATTAATGCATCGAACAACATTTTTGAATTTCCTTATTATAGAAAATATTTTATAACGTAATGAAAACTATTCATTAAACAGAATAATAAAAAAAATTTAAAAAACGCATAGAATATGTAATATTACAAAAAAATGTGAAAGTTTACCACTGAGTTACATCCCTTTTATTTTTAACGACATCCACAATTCTTCGAGGCATAGTGTTTACAATCCCATTGATAAAATGTAACTTTCCCACCTTTAGACGTCATGCTGCCCCAGATCATGACAGATGCAGAAAATTTGACTTTTTTCGTCAGACAGTCGGGATGGAAAGCTTAATTTTTCCTGCGAATGACGCGAGTCCTACTGTCTCCAATATATATATATATATATATATATATATATATATATATATATATATATATATATATATATATATATATATATATATATAATGGCTATACACCCCAGCGTGGGGTTAAACCGCAAATGCTTTCTAGATCCTATTTCTTAAGTGGATCAGTCTTTTTTTTGTTTATCTTATCTTCTTGACAATATCTCTCCATTTTTTCCTGTCTCTAGTTCTTCCTCTCCATTCACTGACTCCTGCCCTTTGGAGGTCTTCTTCAACTTCTTGCAGCCACTTTGATCTCGGTCTTCCCCTTCTCTTTCTTCCTCCTGGATTCCATTCTATCATTGCGTATGTCACTGCCTCATCGCCTGCTCGCCAAATGTGACCTAACCATCTAACTCTGCATTGCTTTATTTTAGTTACGATGTCTTCCTTAAGTTCTTCCTTAATTTCTGCATTTGTTCTGCTTCTATATTCATTTTGCTCTGTTCTGATTGGTCCTAGTATGGTTCTCATAATCTTTCTCTCTGCAATTCTTAAGTCTTCTTCATCTTTTTTAACCATCGTCATTGTTTCCCCTGCATATAATAATATTGGTCTAATTATGGTGTTATAAATGCTCATCTTGCTTTTTTTAGTCAGTGTTTTGCTTTTAAGTAATCTTTTGTTTGCAAAATAAGCTTTATTCGCTGCTAATATTTTTTCTTTTATTTCGGATTTCCTTTCTCCGGATTTACTTATTGTAACTCCTAGGTATTTGAAGTATTCTACTTCTTCAAACTCGGAACTTCCTATTTTGATTTTTTCCTTCATTGGTTTTTTCCCTAATCTTAAAATTTTTGTCTTTTCTTGATTTAATCTTAGCCCCATTACCTCCCCTTTCTCTCTTATTTCTTCAAGCATTTCTTTCATTATTTTTCTGTTCTTTGCAATAATAGCAATATCATCTGCATATGCAATTATTTGACCACCTCTTGTTCTGAGATTTCCTTTATTTATATTTCGCAGTACATATTCTAATGCTAGATTAAATAGCGTTGTTGATAAGGCATCTCCTTGTTTCATCCCTTTATTTATACTGAATTCTTCTGTCTCTCCTCTTTGTGTCTTTATGCTTATTTTTGTAGTTCTCATTGTCATTTCTATTAATTTTCTGAGTTTATGTGGAATTTTTAATTTTTTAAGTGCTGTCATTAATACGTTCCTTTTAATTGAATCAAATGCCTGTTTGAAGTCTATGAATAACATTTCCAATTCTAATTTATACTCGTTTGCTTTTTCCATTATTTGTTTTATTGTGTGTATTGCATCTATTGTAGATCTTCCTTCTGTGAATCCACATTGGTACTGTCCTACTGTCTTCTTTGTGATCTTTGATAACCTCTTTTTTATTATTGATGTCAATATTTTATATGTTGTATTTAGTAATGTTATTCCTCTATAATTTTCACAGATTTGTTGGTCTCCCTTTTTATGTACTGTTATGATCTGTCCTACCTCCCAGTCACCTGGCATTTTCTCTTCTTTCCATATATTTTTCAATAGTGCCAGTATTTTTCCTCTTAGTTCCCTTCCCCCGTATTTTATTAGTTCCATATTAATTCCATCTTTACCTGGGGCTTTTCCATTTTTGCTTCTCTGTATTACTTCATCCAATTCCTCTAATGTTGGTTCTTTTGAAATTTCGATGTCTACTTCATTTGCTTCTTCTTCGTGTACTGTTTCCTCCTCGTCATGCATTTCTTCTTCTGTTGTTTCCTCCGTCAAGAGCTCTCTGTAGTAATCTCTCCATACTTGCTTGTATTCTTGGTCCTCTATTATCACTATTCCCTCTCTATTTTTTATTCCGTTTGTTTTGCCCTTGTATTTTTTGTTTTGTTCTTTAATCTTTTTGTAAAAACTTTTCGTATTTCTGTTTGTTCTTTCCTGCTCTATTTCCTGCATTTTTTTGTCTACCCATCTTCTTTTATTTTGCCTTATCACTTTCTTAGCATTCCTTCTTAATTTTTCATATTCTTCTCTGTCTTCCTCTTTATCTGTTCTTAGCCATTTATTTCTGGCTTGCACTTTTTTTCCTGTTATTTCTCTACATTCTTGGTTATACCATTCGTTTCTTGTTTTAGCCTGACTTTTACCTATCTGCATATTTGCACCTTCTTCTATTGATTTTTTGATCGTCTCCCATTCTGTGCTTATATCTTCTACTTTATATTTCTCTTTTATTTGAACTGTTACTGCCTCTTCATATTTTTTTCTTATTTCTTCATTACTCAATTTATTGACATTCCACTTTTTATGTTGGTTTTTTTGTTTTGTTTCAATTTTAACTTTTTGTCTTATAAACTCCTACTGTCTCCAATACACACTTCAAATCTGGACTCATCACTCCATTGTATTGAATCCCATTGCGACTGAGTCCAATATTTATGCTCTTTTGACCATCTTGGTTTATTTTTCTTTTTTTTTGAACTTTGATGAAATGAAAGGCAGCTATCGAGCACTGTTTTATTAATTAAATCTTGCCCAAGTACTTTCGCTTCCTAGAGCATCTTCAGGGACATTTCGTCAAATTTTGGGTCATCCAACAAGGGCAAATAGTTTAAAATTATTTAAAAAATAGTGGAAGCTACATTCTGGTCGGCTGCGCAAAGTGTGTTGTGTTGCTGTTTAAATTCAAATCTTCACAGTAAAATGCAAACCGTCATGAAGATAGTGAACTTTACACGTGCAAAATATACGTCTTTGAGGCATCGTCAATTCAACTCATTTCTAGAATACACTGTTTTGGCACGTGTCTAGATTTAGCTCCTTCCTTCTACTTTACCTTCGATAACCCCTCTCCAACCTGTTCGTAGTCTACCTCGTCTACGTCTTCCCTGTGGTGTCCAGTCTGGTATCTTCTTGATTGATTATGTCCATTATGCTTTGGTAATGGATCTTCTCCCATTCTCTGAACTTGACCGTACCACTTCAGTTGTTTTTATTTTATGTGGTCAATCAGTATGTTTTCAACGTTCATAAATCTGGATGTATCCTTATTGGTAACTCTTTCTTGATATCATTTTTCAGCTGACTTCCTCTAGAAGTCTATTTCCGTGGCTAGAAGTGTTTTTTCGGTTTTGAATTTTAGTGACCAAATTTCGAAATCATATGTGACAATACATTATATAGTAGATCCTTCTTATGTTTTCTTTGTATATGTGTTTCTCCCGTAAGAACCCATTTCATCAATTTTTTAGGCGTTTCTTCCTTTCATATTTCTGACTGTTATGGCTCCATCCAGGCTCACATCATTTGTCAATTTCATGCCTAAATATTCGTACGTGTGCTTGTATTGTGTATGTTCTACATCATTAAATATCATAGGCAATGAAGCAATAAACCTACCAAATCTTTGCAGTTGGATGGATCTCAATGTAACTTGTTGCATTCGATTCGTAAGAGTGTCAAGAGATTTTGTGAACAAAAATGATGATGTCGAAATAAAAATTGCATTATTTATCAAGGAAAATGCATTTTTATGCAATAATTAACAGAAATGATTTCAATATTACAACTCGGGGGTTTTTGGGGTCACTGAACACAAATATCATGACGACGATGGTCTCAGAGTCACCTGGTGCACCTGGACCTCGTCTCCTGTAGTTTTGTGGAAATTCGATACAAATCAGTGCAAACTGGTTACTCAGGGGTTTTTGTGGTCGCCGAACAGTATTATGTAGGCGATGGTGTGCGAAGAACCTGCTCGTCTCCTAGAGTTTTGTGGAAATAGCTTGAACGAGAAAGATATAACTGGGTAAATTCTTATGAAGAAATTGCAATACGGTTGCTGCCTGTCCTCGAAGCAACACTACCAAGGAAGCTGCCGTTTCTTGACCATTTCTAATTGAAAACAATAAGTTTTCCATGCTGTTTGACCATCGAACGTGGGTGGTTTTAAAATATTGTTAGTTCTAATTGGGCTTGGTTCAACTATGGAAGATGGTAAAGCTGTTCGTTCTTATTCGACATTAGTTACTGAAACAATATTAGCTAAAGAAGCTTGGGTATTAGTTTTTCTTTCTAACTCAAGTATTTGTCTTTCTAAATTAAATTTTAAATCGTTTTATTGTTGTACTTTTTTATTTTCTAAATCGCTTTGTTGTTTTTCTAATCAATGTATTCTTCTAGTAATTTTGACTTACCTCTAACCACAGAATAATAAACAATCAGAATGCCCACTCTCAGATGCCGCCTTTGAAGTTTTTCAGCACGCGCGCCATGTTTTAGAAGGAAACACATAACACAGACATATGATTTGTGAGGTTATGTAATTGTTTATATTTATGTTTAATTATATTATATTTATGTTATTATATTTAACAATGTTAATATAATTGTATAGTATGTCTATGATTGCCGTAAGTCAATTAAACCGGGTTAATTTTTCTATGCACACCACATAAACAACACTGGTTCCCTCTAAAACATGGCGGAACGTCTGCGCGAAGGAGATGCGCGTACTTAATTTTCCATGGAGAGTGGGCATTCTGTTTGTTTATTATTCTGTGCTCTAACTTACAATTTTCATGAATTTGGGATAAACTATTTATGATTTCTGCCTCTACTTTTTTATACGCCTCTGCTTATCCTCTTGCTCTTCTTGTCTACGTGTCTTCTTCTCTTCTTGTCTACGCGTCTCTTTTAGCTCTTTCTCTTTTTGTTTATGCTTCTCCTTGAGCTCTTCCTCTTCTCTTCTACGCTTCTCCTTCATCTCCATAGGCTTCTCCTTTTCATCTTTCTCTTCTTGCCTCTTTCCCTTAATCTTCTTTCATTTTTAAAAATCATGCAGGGTGTCTAAAAGTATCCATTTCTTTATTAAATTTAGTAGATCTCGTATTAACCATTCACAACTGTTTAATTTAATATCTCTTCAATCTCATCGGTGTCACCAATACTACACCCGTTTAAATTACTTTATTCAAACACCAACAATATTGCAATACTTGTTTACAACTTTTACACAATGACAGTTCAACTATTCAAAATGCTTTTGTTATTTAAACTGTCAACTTTCTATATTTATATTCATTTTCAAACATTCCAGACAATACTAGACATTTCGAGATTTTTCGATGATATCTCGAACATTCTAGGTTTTTCTAATACTTGTTCTTTTTCGTCAAGGTACTTTTTCTATGTCGAATAAATCTCACGGAACTGTCGCAATATTGAAGTGTTCTTCTTCTTCTTCTGCTTCTTCTTTTTCATGTTTTTCTTATTTTTCTTCTTCAAGTTTTTCTTCGTCTTGTTCTCCTTGTAGGACATGGTCCTGTTTACTCTATCATCTCAGCTCTTGTGATTTGATGTCACGCAGGCTGTCTGCCCAACCTGGTGATGTCCAGCTGTCCTGTCATGCCACCTCTTCGGGGGTCTTCCTTTCCTCTTCTCGATTTATACTCTTAAATATGATATATATTTCCTACAACTGTGTTGTGATCAATACTTCTGATATACTGGACAGATTTTTCTATAGATGAAGACCTACAAGGAACAGTGATAGATCGATAGCGTTTTTGTTTTTATAATAAAACAAAGTCTAAAAACACAAAACTGTTTCTTACTTGCAATGCATACAACTTCAATCCATCAGTAACTAGCACTCTGAGTCGGCTGTGTGGATGTGTTCTACAAAATCTAATTGAACTTGCATATGGAAAAATCTAGTCAGGCTATCTAACGTTTTTTGCTTGAAGCAACTAATATAAAAATAATCAAATAGAAATATGGAAACTCATCTTATGTTCGTGGATCTATACAAGCCGTATCATTTAGTTCCTATAAAAATGCTTTGGAAGACACTACAAGAAACCAACATTAGTCGTACTAGTGGGTCAATTTTAATACTAAAAATTGACAGCGATATATTAAAAAAATTTCTATTTTAATAAAAAAAAATTATTCGTATGTTCCTATTCCTTCCGTTTCTTCGTACCTCGCTAACGCCAATTATCCCTTAATTTCTATGTTTATGTCGTGGGTCAATTTTGTTACTGTTGTGAACCTATAATATGGCGGAACATAAGCTACTCCTCTAGTTGAAATCAAAAGGTAATCATTGCTCGTTTCTGTATTTCATTAAAATAACATTAATATTTTTTTGTCATAAATATTTTTTTTATTTGCAGCCAATAAAGCAGCCACCTATAACCAAAGAACCTCCTCCTCCCGAAAAACTTATAATAGAACCAGCAGTACCAACCACAACCTCAATAAGCACTTCCAAATGGGGCCTGCGCAGTAATCCACGGCGACCAGAACAGCAAGTACCTCATCCAGGTAAGCAACACAATTGTTTTTATTATTACAAAGAATATTCATTACATTCTACATTCAAAATGTAAAATTTTTTCTAACGTCTAAACTCCTTCACATATGTCGCTGTTACTCGCTTATATATCGCTTGGTTTCCTCATTTATGTTCATTTTTGCAGCTCGCAGAGAAGGTGCAACTTCTGTGGCTTTGATTATGTTGTATATAATGTTTTTTCTGTAAGTGATGTTGGCCATAATTATAACGAAAGCTTCACGATTGTTTGCCCTGTTTGCAACGGCTTGTTCTGCGTTTCATATTTTGGTTTCTCAACCAAGAAATTTTATTAATTTTTACACCTTTTGTGTCAATTTTTTTGAGTTATTCAAAAAATAAAATATTAAAAGCACTGCTGATACCATAAATAGAATTCGAGGCTCCTTTTTGTATTTCAGAACTGACCACATCCCAAAGACAACACCTCAGACAATCAGCTGCTTCCAATCCGGTACGACCTTTTCTAACGAGAGGCTCTGTCGCTGAAAGAGTTCTAATATTCGAAAGGTGTCCTAGCGATTTGCTTTTGGATAAGAGAGTGAGAGCGCCTGCACCACAAATTACAAAAACACAGGTAAGCCATTTTATAATTATATCTCGAAGATTTGTAAAAAACGGAGGAAAAGAACTTTAAGAAAGAAATGACTATTTTGGTGTAAGCAGTAGCTATTTTGGAAGCAACTTAATAAAATATAATTGTTCATGATATAAGGCGGAATCTAAAATAAATAAAGAATGTTTCCTTGCAGATATATATGACCTTGGAATTTTAAGCAAAGACTTCATTACAATTTCGTATTTCACCCATCACATATTTTCCTCAAGCGTCCTATTAACCTTTCTCTAAGTTACTGTAGGCCTGTTACTATTTTCCATCCACCTGGGTTCTAATTTCGTTATTGGATAATCTCAATACTCCTTTTTGAATTTTGTTCAGCCTTGGAATGCTTCGAGAATTGCGAATATTAAAGTTATAGCAAGAAAGTTGTCGCTGGTAGAACATAGAAGAGTGCGTTAATGTTGGACAAAATAGTACTTGCTGCAGGTCAACACATAAAACCACAATATTTAAGAGCGTAGGCGCAAAATTTCGGGCCAATGCTTTTTAAATGCATTTTCGAATTTTGAGAAAACTAATAAATATTTTTGAAAAATTTAAACGCATTATTACCGAGGGCCGAAAGTCTCTTAGAATGAACAAAAAGTTTCTTTTGAATGAGATATTTGAAATTAAAAATCACACTTAATTTTCTCTTCTTCACCCTGGTCTTCTTCTTGATGTGCCTATCCATTACGAATGTTGGCGATCTTTATCTTATCTACAGCAGCGCGGAAAAGCTGCACAGATGTTGTATTGAACCAGATTCTGAGGTTCTTTAACCAAGATGTTCTTCTTCTTCCTGGACCTCGCTTTCCAAATATTTTTCCTTGCAGGATGGCTTGAAGGAGAGCATATCTGGATTCATTTCGCATAATATGTCCGAAGAATTGTAACTTTCGAGATTTAATAATGGTCAGTACCTCTCGGTTCTTATTCATTCTTCTGAGGACCTCCTCATTTGTGACTCGGTCAGTCCACGGGATCTTAAGTATTCTCCGATATAGCCACATCGCCACATCATTCATCCCTGTAACTTAGTAAAATAAACATTATAGACGTTTTCAGGGACTTTCCGCCCTCGGTAATAATGTAATCTTTTATTCTGCGTTTAAATTTTTCAAAAATACTTATTAGTTTTCTCAGGTTTCGAAAAAAATTATTGCGTTTAATTAAATAAAAACATGACAAGGGGTCTACGAGAGAAAAAAGTTTGGGAACCTCTGGTCTAGATTCCAGTTTATTGTTCTGTTTTTTTTTTTGAAAACGTTTTGTTTAATTATTTTCTTACTGAAACTGCATTTTGAGTCTTATAAAAGGAAGGATAAGGTTTGTACGACTACATTAGCAGATTAACAAAAAGGTCAAAGTTTTCCTAAATGTCATATATTTAAATATTTGCTACATGTGATAGTAGCGCTAAGAGCTGTTTTAGCCTTGATTCTTAACATATACTACCTATTTTCGTAAATATTTTTTTATTTTGATTACACCAAAAAAACATAAGCTTTACAATTTAATAGATTTAAATGTCACATAAAATTTACGATTATGTAATTTGCCATTTTACGGTAAATTACTAAACTGCCTTACTTTACATTATTAATTCGACATTTTTATAAAAGCGTAGTAATAAAAATACTTTTGAAGTTTCATAAGACTGCGTGCAAACGTTACGAAGTCGAGGTTGTTTAAAATTCCTCGTTAATAAGTAGGCAGAAGGTTCAGTCTAAATTAATAAGTTGATTAAAAAGTTAAGTTTGTTTCAGTAATTAGTTATTTAGGTTTATGTTCAACGAATTTTGAATTTTTTGAATTTGCGACTTGTGTCCTTAATAACAAAAATAACACTTGTTAGTATATTAAATACTTTACAATTATTAATTTTTCTTAGATTCTAGATTAATTTTCCTATTTTTTATTTTTCATGATTTTTTTATTTTTATGGTTGTTATATCATTTTCTATTTGTTCTATGTATCTCAGCTTGTAACGAAATATTTTGCCTACCACATAGGGTATTACTATGCGGTGTTGAAAATTGGGACTAGAAATTATTGGGACTGAGATAGGGCAAGCAAAATAAACGAAACTTGTTGCGAACGGCGCTCAGGGTTTATTTGGAGAACTGGGTCGTGGATAAGTGAATGAAACAATGGGATTGGATTGGGGCAACTACAAAAATGAAACAAAGGGGTACTTACATGAATCTCCTGGACAAATGGCAAACAAAACACAAGAAGGTCCTCTAGCTATTTAAAATGGGACGCCGCTTCGAGGAAACTTCCTGCTGGATGAAAGAAAAAGGCTCTTCCTCCTAAAAAACACAAGAAAAAGGTTAGAATCTTTTTTAAAATAAATAGACAAAATGGTTTAGGGAAAAAAATTAAACATTTATTACTGTCTCACCACAAACAGTTACAAATATAGATAATACAAAAATACTATATTAATAGTTACAAAGATTATACAAAATAAAGAGAACTTACTATGTCTATCGTTTACAAACTCTAGAAGTTGGAGATACTACAATATTTACAATTGTTACTGGGCTATAATTTGTAGCAGAAATAAATTATTACAAATAAAAATAATCTTTTTAAATGAAACTATTCATAGTGGTTAACCTTTTTCTAAAAAACAAAACAAAAATCTCAAATATGATTACAGTAGTTACCAGATGTCAAAAATAATGAAGCTAGCTGTCATATGTCAAAACTAAATCTTTGGACAGATTCAAACGTAGTTATAAGGATCGAATCGTTTTATAATACCCCTTTGTCCGCTTCTTCTCGATCGACGTTGATAAATACAATAAAACGATGAAGTTGTAGAGTAAAAATGTTGGTTTTATTGACAGCTACTACTAATTACACTGTATGATGTTGGTTAGGTAACTATCTATAATAGACTGCCTTGATATGAGCTCAAATCCCAATTTATAATCTCACAAATAATGTATACCTCAGCACAGAGGTTATTGCTTCTATCATACTAACAAACTTTGAACTATGAGCTTACAATACAATTTAATCTAGGCCGTAATTGCAACATTTATACGATAACTCGGCTTCTCAAGAAAAACGGGAGCAATGTGGGTATTTTCCAAATTTCATTTTATTTGTTGGGATAGCACAGATGCAGTCATCGATATAGCGGTAGAAGAATGGTACATTAAAATTTAAGTGACAGATTCTTCTAAATCTTCCAGATCCAGTTGAGTAATGACACAGAAATACTTACATCCATTGTATGTCCATATATTTTATTTGTTGGTATATTTCGTCCTTTTATAAAAAAGTATGATGAGTTTAATGTTAACTCTACAGATGATTGGAATTCTTGCAATAAGATGTCAGTGCACTTTTTATGCCATTCTACTTCTTTTTTAATGATGTTGATATGTGAATGTTTTTAATTTTAGAAATAAGGTCATTGGAGTCTTTTATAAGGAGATAATAAGGATTTTTTTTTGTAACGTTTTTTAAGAACTTTGAAAGATTCTCGAAGGGTAATTGAATGCAGGAAACGATAGGACGTAGAGGTACATTATCCTTGTGTGTATTAGGTAAACCATAAATTTTTGGTGGAATAGCGTTGTGTAGCTTAAGTGATTTTGCTGTATTTGGTGATATATAACCATTTTTGTCCCATCTGTCAATGAGATCAATATTTCTTTTTAGGAAAATATTGGTAGGAACATTTTAAAGTTTAGAATACAGTAGTCTCTCTTTATAACGATTCCCTATATAACGATAATTTCTCTATAACGATGAAAATAGTAAACGTTGGTTGGTTCGTCATAAGGACAATGTATTAATTCTTTCTCTATACCGATATCGTTCTCTCTTTATAGCGATCACTTTTCAGCGTTCAATAGTCGATGGCAAATGTGTTATCGTATTTAAAGCCCAGACTACCTAAGTCACGAGCGACAAGGCCACTGTCCAGCGGTTGTTTTGTGTCGCGCTCAAGGAATGCGTCATCCCTCCTACTTATTGTTATCCAAGGGATAAGTGATACGATTTTACGGGATGTTGTCATCTATTGACGACTTCTCACTTCCAGTTTCAGTTGTGTCTCAGTGTGTGAACAGTCTTCATGTTTTCGAAAAAGCGTAAAGTGCTCTCGGTAAAAGATATCGATAATTCCGGCAATAGAAAAACGTAAAACCACTCGGATGTCGTTCGCCATATGAGGCTGTCACAGTCAAGTGTGGAAGAACAGATAAAAGGAGCTTGAAGCGGAAATGGAGAGCGACAGCAGGAATAAGTTGTGGAAAAGCCTCATCAAGAAGATTAGGAACGCGCTAAGTTTTTTACAATAGCTTGAAATTCAATATATATCGGAATAGTGCGTTGGTGGTAAGCTTTCTATGGAACGCATTATGGTTTTAGTAGCCGCTAACATAACATGTTCATCGAAGAGAAAATTGTTAGTGATAGGGAAGTCGCAAAACCTATGTGGCTTTAAAAACATCAAAAATCTACTTACTACCTACAAAGTAAACAAGAGTGCGTAGATGACTTCGGAAATTTTTGAAAAAGCAATAAGAAAATGGGATGTCGAGCTTAAAGGGAAAAAATTCTTCTGCTTGTAGACAATTGAACAAAACGTTGAATTTTGAATCCTGCCAACAAACACAACGAGTTTCCTTCAGCACATGGACCAAATTATTATCAATAGTTTAAAAAACCATTACAGGAGAAGACTTGATGGAATTGTTAAGAACAATGGCGATCTAAAACTTAATATCTTGAACGAGGTGACGAACAATAAGATAAAACATTCCTTCAAACACGCAGGGTGGCTGAATGGTCAAGGATTGACTGAGGATGAAGATGACCTGCCATACTCTGTTTGGGCCAGACAGTTTGTAGTTTCTATCATCTACGGACCGAAAGAGTTAACAGATTTCGAAGAAGTTAATAAAAATATAGCTATAATATTTGGACTTTCTGACGAGCACATCCTATA